ACTGCTGTGAGTTCATGAGTGTGAGAGCCATGTCATGTCCAGAAGACAGCATTTCACACAATTCTTTCCATTCTCCAGTTCTTACATCCTTTCCCCCTCCCTCTTGTATGATGTTCCCTGGTGTAGGGACAAAATATAGATATCACGTTTAAGGCTGAGTCACTGCCTATTACCAAAAGAAGCTTCTCTGACCAAGGTTGAAAGTAGCACATATCTACACATATAAACATAATCGTTTATAAGGCAGTTTGAGAACTCGTCCATTGAACAATAGAATAGTAGGTTCTCATGTAGAGGCTATGATATCCTAATCTATGAACTTTTGACTAAGTTACAGTACCAGGCATGGGTTACTTTCTATGGAACGAGCCTCAAATCCAATCAGAAAAAAATGGTTGTCATCCTTATAACTTATTGCACAAGTGGGCACATCTTGCCTGGAAGATAAATATTGTAGCATGCAGAGTCCAGTGCTGGCTAGGACTGTTGGTGACTTTTCTCCCCCAGTGACCTGTACAGTACCTTCCAGCACTGTAAAGGCTAGCCAGCAGAGAGGAAGTCTCTTGGTCAGTTTGAGATTGATTTCTCTATGTCCCACAACCAAAGTACATAGTGTCTTCAGCAATAGGGTCTTATAATCTAGTTCTGGTGGGCAACGAAGAGCCATGGCAATATCCTGAGTTTTTGTCAGGAGCAGAGAACTGAATCTTCTCTGATCATAGCAAGGTACCCATGCCTATCACTGACATTGTTTAATAAACCATGTCTTCTGAGAGCTGCATTGCCCACTCATGTGGTACATGTCATTCCAAACTCCTTTTTTAAACTGTATTTTGTAATTAGCTTACAAAGTACTGGTTTCCATAAGAATTTTTTATACATCTTTAATTTTTATTGACTCACCCCCTTCTCCCTCGCATGTCTCCACTCCACCTCCACTAAAAGCTATAACCCCTGGTATCTGCCCACTTCTTTCATATTACATGTATTCTATCCTCTTCAGTTACATTTTTGAGTTGGGTTACAATATGGTTCCATTTTTTTCATATATCTTTCATTTTGGTTAACTCTTGCTTGAACTCCTCCTTGTTTGAATGTTGCCCTGGTATTCCTCTAACAAGACACAAGAAGACCATTTGAGATCTGCTTTTATATATTTCTCTAGCCTCATCTCTCAGTTTCCACTCACCTCTCCCTCATACTCCATTCTACAGGACACCAAGCTAGTCCATTATCTAAACACATCACACCTACAACTCTTCCATGCCTTGCAGTGTTCTTCTCTGGTTTATATTCACCATTTCAACTGTTTCACAAACACAGTGTTCCTGCTATATATCAAGCACTAAGCTTGTAATTAGAAATACAAAGATTACAGTCTCAACCTGAGGAATCTATCATCTAATGGGGTAAAAACACAATCAAATGTATATTAAGCTACTCCATGGTGTGCTACTGGGGGGGGTGGAATCAGCTGTTTGGACCACAAAGAAAGAAAATATAAGTCAGTTTAAGAAGATGGCGGGATAAGCAGCTCCAAGCTTTTATCCCAACAGAAACATCAAAAAGCAAACACAAACTGTCAAGAGCAACTTTGTAAAAATTCAGGAAGACAGTCAAAGCTTTACAACAACTAAGCAAGTACTTGATCATAAAGGGAGAACTTCAAATCAGTAGGAAGGTTTTGTGTTACTTATTGCTTTTGTCACAACCAATACCTGACATTTTGATATAATGTTAGTCGTGGGGAGTTAACAGCTCATGTACCTCGTACAGGACCCCAGTCCCTAATTCCTGAGGAAACAGAGCAGATTGTTTTGACAGGTCATTGAATATGTCTGCTCTAACCTTTCTGGCACTGCCTGAGTACTGACAGAATATGGTCACAGGCAGTGGACATTGCTTTAAAAAAAACTGCAGGTAAAAGAACTTTCCAACAAAGGGCAAAAGGCTGCCGCTGGAAGCAGAATAGACCTCTAAGATTCACGGGCACAATCTGGAGAGAGTTTCTTTGGGAAATGGAGACATTCAAAAGTATCCATAAATCCAGGTAAATTTAGAAAACCAAGTGCATTTCACAAGATAAGCCACATGTTCAGAAAGCACCGGAGAAAACCCCAAGTTTCACACTGGCTTGAGCCATATGCTGAGTGAAAGCCTGGGTAATTGTTGTAGGAAAGCCAGAGCACAGAGCCAATCTACAAGCAAAAATGCTTTGTTTCTTATTGGCTCCTGGAATTTCAGATATATTTCTGTTGAAACACTAGTTTAACATGAACTATGGAGCATAGACTTCAGTGACCACACATGACAAGTAATAGTCATAGACATAGTTTTGGACCATCAGTATAAACGTTTATTGCTATAACATTCAGTAATTGAAAAGGCAGTAGAGCCTAAAGCAGAGAAACAATTTGACTTCCAGAGATACCCTGTTAAAAGAACAAACTGTTCCCTTAATAGATAAAATAAATTTTTAAAAACTTTAAGGAAATCACCAGACATCTAAAGATACAGAGAAGTATGGCCCATTCAAAAGAACATTGTAAACTGACACTAATAGCTCTGAAGGAGTCTGACATTAATTAGACTCACTACAGGAAGACTTTAAACAACTGTCATAAATATACTCAGAGGGCTAAGAATAGAAAACAAAAGGAAATGAAGAAATCGAGCTGGGTATTGTGGTATACACCAACAATCCCAGCACTTGAGAGAAAGGGGCAGGAAAAATTCTTACACATGAACAAATGGGGAATGTCAGCATATAGTAATTAAATAGGAGTTATAAAAAGGAACCTGAGCCAGAGTGATGGCTCAGTAAATAAAAGGGCTTGCTACCCAAGCCTCATGACATGAGCTCAATCTCCAGAACCCATGTGGGAAGAGAGAACACACTCCTAAAAGTGATTATATACATACACGTATGTGTGTATGCATGTATATATATATATATATATATATATATATATATATATATATAAGTATATATTTTTAAGGAAGTAAATATTCAAGTAAAAAAGCAGAGATTGGAACTTGGAAAAATTTAATGATTCAGGACAGTGACAGCTTAGTGGTACAGCATATGCATAATGTATACAAGATTCTATTTTCACTCTCTAGTACTATACATACAAGCAAAATATAATTAAAGTGTATGCTGATTGCAAGAGGCTTCCTTTAGCTACAAAAACACAAATTTAATGAAAATGAAAACGTGGGAGGGGGTGTTTCCCTGTAAACCAGTGTTTCTCAATCTTCCTAATTCTATGACTCTTAAATACAGTTCTTCATGTTGAGATGACACCCAACCATAAAGTTGTTTTTGTTTCTATTTTATAACTACAATTTTGCTACTGCTATGAATTGTAGTGTAAATATCTGATACGTAGGATATCTGATATGTGATCCCTGTGAAAGAGTTGTTCTACCCCCAATGGGGTTATGACCTACAGGTTGAGAACTCCTGCTGTAAATGATAACCAAAACAGCCAGCATCGCTGCTCCAGAACCAGCCTTACATCAAAAACTGTTCAAGGAAACAGAGAGCACTGCATAGTAATGAAACTGTCAACTTTTCAAGAATATATAACAAGTATAACTCATAACAGCATCCCAAAATATATAAAAAATACTGACTGAATCAAAGAAATAGACTAAAATAGTAAAAAAAAAATAGTTGGAGGCTTCAAAATCCAACTATCAATAACAGATAAAATGACAAAACAGATGTCTAATATGGAAACAAAGGGTTGGAAAACTATAATGGTTCATGTGTGTTAGCCAGAATCTCCTCAAGAGCAACAGGACAAATACAACAGCTATCCAGACAGGGATAGAAGTTCATCATGGGAATTGGCTTAAGTAACTGTGAAAGCCATAAAATTCCATAATGTGACATCTTTGAGCTGTGGAAGCAGGAAATCCAAGACTGTGTCTCTGCATCAGTCCAAGGTCCTGAAAAGTAAGACGACCAGTGGTGTTTCTCCCACTCCAAGGCTGTCTCAGACTTTGAAATGCCAGACACTCCAATGTCTGAGGGTAGGAGAACGTAGGGTCTCAGCACAAAATACATACAGAATTGACCCTTCCTACAACTTTTTCTTCTATCTGGGTCTTTAATAGATTAGATAATGCCCACCCACATTGGCAAGAGTGGAATGTTTTTATTCAGTGTACTGACTCAAATTTGAGCTTTTCCAGAAATACTATCACAGACATACTGAGAAATGTTTTACTAGCTATGTGAGCTTCCCTTAGCCCAGTCAATTTGACTCATAAAATTAACCACTGCACACCAACAATCTCTAACAGACATATATAGAGCACTCCACCCAATGAGAGCAGAACACATATCCTTCTCAAGTGTACTCGGAACATTCTCCAAGATCAGCCAGATGTTAGACCATAAAACAAATCTCAATAAATTTCAAAAGATTGAAATCTTATGGCATGTTTCTTTGTCCACAATGGAATAAAACTAAAATTGATAACAAAACTGAATTTTTCTAAATTAAATAAAATGCTCTTAAACAACCAATGGGTCAAAGAAAAAATATTAGAAAACATTTATGCAAAAAATTAAAAATAGAAGAACAGCATACCCAAACTTATGAGATGAGGTGAAGGCACTGATCCAATAAAAGTATGTAACCATAATTGCCAATATTTAAAACTAATAGGGTGAGAGAGACAGCTCAGCACTTAAAAGCACATAACTACTTTTGTAGAGGATCTGATTCGGTTCTTAGCACACACAGTGATCTGTTCACAACTGTCCAAGGAATCCAACACCCACTTCTATCCTCAAAAGTTATTGCATATGAGAGTCCTGGAGCTGGAGTCACTGATTGACTGTGCTGAGGAGTCCTGGAGCCTGGAGTCTCTGTTTGGCCCTGCTGACAGTAGAAGCTCTATTCCCACTGTCCATATCAGGTTCCTTCTGACTGAAGATCTATCAGGATGAGCATCTACAACCCACCCACGTTCCAACATCTGCAATGCAGAACCTGCTGTTGAATGACGCCTCAACCATCTCTACTCTGGAGTACCTGCCAATTAATCTCTTCCCACCAGTGTTCAAGGAGGCCTTCACTGGTAGACACACACAGCTACTGAAGGCAATGGTGGCAGCCTGGCCCTTTTCCTACCTCCCCATGAGCGCCCTGATGAAGACACCCAATGTGGAGTTGTTGCAAGATATTCTGGGTGGTGTAGATATTCTGCAGGCACAGAAGGTTCGTCCCAGATGGTGGAGGCTTGGAGTACTTGACTTGAGGAATGTGAACCAGGATTTCTGGGATATATGGGCGATGTATGCTCAACAGAGACTAAAAATGAGGAGCAAGTAGGCAATAAAATGAGGCTGGATGTGAAGGTGGTCACTGACCTTAGCCTCAGGTTCCACCTGAAAGAACACCAAACATGCTTGTTGCAGTGGGCCCAGGAGAGGAAAGACTCTGTGCAGCTGTACTGCGTGAAGATAGATATTTGTGCCTTTCCTGGGGAGATTATCAAGGAGGTCTTAGACATTTTCCCACCAGATGACATCGAGGAATTGGAGCTATTCACAAACCACATTCTGCTCTTCCCAGGTCACATTGCATCTCACTTTGGCCATATGACAAAACTTCGCAAAATCCGTCTAACTTACATCTTCTTGGAGACAGACACACATGATATGTGTGCTGTCCTGTTTCTCTCTCAGTTCTCCAAATCCAACTCCCACGAGCAACTTTCCCTGGATGGCATCTACTTTCCCCATCGCCACATGCAGCAGTTGTTGAGTTGCCTGAAGACGCCCTCAGAATCCTTGTCCATCACTCGCTACCTTCTCACCCCATTAGACTTCAAACACTTGTCACAGTGTCAGAGGCTCTGTCAACTGAAACACGGGAATCTCAGTAATGTAATAGTCTCTGGGTCTGGTGACCCACATCTCTGAGCTCTCCTTGAGAATACAGCAAACACTTTGCAGACCCTGGAGTTAGTGAACTGCAACATGGGGGACTCTGATCTCAGGGCCCTCTTGCCTGCCCTGAACCAGTGCTCACAGCTCACCACTGTGAATTCCTATGACAATGACATCTCCACTGCTGTACCGAAGAAGCTTGTGCAAAGTATGGCCAATCTAAGCAACTTGACTGCAGAGTTCTACCCCGCCCCTCTAGAGTGCTAGAACCCCTGGGTTCTGTTCATGTGGAAGGATTTTCCCAACTCTGTCTTGAGCTCTGGAACATAGTCTTTGCCAAAAGGCAGCCTAAGACAATAGCCTTTGCTACAAGAATCTGCCTTAAATGCCATAGGCGCAGTGTTTATAACATGGAGATTGGACTTTGTCAGTGTTGGCAATAAATAGGGAAATATTGCTTCTGGATACTGAGAATTGAAAGTCTAGGGGTTGGACTTTCATCATGGGGTCCCAGAACACATGGCTACAGACATTGTGTGACACATTGGAAACAACAGTGTTCAGGGGATGCATACCATAGGGACTCACTAGACTTGAAGTATAATTGGAGCACAGTATAGTTGTTTTATGGAATCAGAAAGGCAATTTTCATCTCTAACTGTGCCTCTGTCAAAACAGGGTCATCACTGGCTTGCCAGTATGTGACAGATTTAAACATCATCAGACTAGGTACCTGGATGATCTTCCCTTGTGTCCTCAGTCATTAATCTCAGTTTTAGGTTCACAGTCAAGGTGTCCTGTAACCACATGTAGTACAATTATGGACATTAAGGCCCAAGTCTTGCCAGCATCAATATGAACTGAAGTCATTACGGCATTGTCTTCCCCTCTTAACCTCCCATGACACAGCTCCACGGTGGATTTGTTTGTACAGAATTGTTAAACTGAAAGCAGCAGCATAGACCTGATCACCTTTGAAGATGGTTTTGGAGAAACACAGGAGATTACATCCCAAGATACTCAGATAGAAGTTACTGGGTACCCCTTGAAGATGGCTAAAGCCCAAGTCCTTGCCTAGAGACCTGACTGACCTGAGACCTGGTTGTTAACTGTTTGGCTATAAGCTCTGTCTTTATTTGCTAAGAGAGTAGCCAAGTCAGCTATTTCACTGTATCAGGTAGCATTAAGATAATTTTTATACTCTGTATTGCATTGGTCTTTATTAATAAGCCAAATCCCCCTTTTCTCACATGTCATCGTGATGCCTGCTAACTTCATACACTGTACTAACTGTGAAGGACACTTGATTATCACACTTTGGACAGAACCATCCCTGGGAAGTAATGTGGTTATGAGCAGAATGGCATTTCAACATAAGAGCCTGATTACTAAAACATTCTAGAAAAGTGTGGAGGTTCACAGAACTTATGATTCCATCCGTGCTCACAGGGGTTGTCTGTCACAGGCTAGGAGCCTCCAGTGATTATGAGGAATCTTCTTTTCTTCTAAAATGTCTCATATTTTAGCTTTGAAGGTGGAGTCCCACAACACACCTTAGTCAAGCAAATAGAATACATACAATATCCCATGCAATGAGAACCCTTTTCAGGTCAATTCATCCACAGAAAGGAGACACTGCAGCCAGGTTCTACATGCCTGAGGCTCAAGTTGGCATTCTGAGTCTCCATGTGCTGCCAATTTCCTTGAAGATATGAAGTCTTGAAGCTGTTCTCGATGCAGAACTTGAGGAAACTGCAGCAGAGGCATTTGGAGATGCTGGATCACTTGGACCATTTGTGTTCATTGGTGTCTGGTCCCCCTCATTCTGAAAACATATAAATTTTTAAAGGAAACATACATATCTGTATTAGCACAAGTATAAACTGTGTGTTGTACACAACTTAGCCAATGATCATTTTTTGTTTATGTTTGAGCAGATAAAATAAACATTATGCATTTTGTAAAAAAAAAAAGTTATTGCACACACATGCCCATACCCACACAGAGACACACACATGCACATAATTAAAAATAAATCTTTTTTTAAATGAAGAGAAAATAAAGGGACTGATGATGAATGTCAATATTGATACATATACTTAGCATGCACAGGGCTGTGGAATCAATCTTTAGCATAATAAATAACAAACAAACAAATGAGGGGCTAAGAGAAATGGCTCAGCCATTAAGAGTACTTGTTGCTCTTGCAGAAGACCCAGGTTTTGACATCCACAGGCACCAGGCACACACATAATACACATACATACCTGCTGACAAAATATTCATATTGTGAAATACATGTAAAATCTCAAAAACATAAAATAGATAACAAATGAATAACCCAACTTTACACATTGAGAAATAAGAAAAAGAAGAACATATTACATCTACACCTAGCAAAAGGAAGGAAATGATACACTCTAAAACAAAGAGATCAATAAAAGCAATAGAGGAAATCAATGAAACCAAAAGCTCTTTCTTTGGAAAAGTCAAGAAATTCGTTAATCTCTAGCTAGACTGACAGAAATAGGGAAGAAGACATAACTAAAATCAGAAATGCAAGTGGAACCACTCAGCTCAATCATGAACAAAATAGCATAAGAAAACAGTACAAATAAACATACATTAGCAAATGAGATGACCTAGATGAAATCCAAAGGCTTAGAACATTTCAGAGAGGGAAGTTAGAGACACCCAGCACAATCCTGGAGACTAAAACAACAAAACAAGGGCCTGGCTGCAGGTACAGGTGAAGAGAAAGCACAGGGGACATCAACAGTAAACAGGAAGACAGAGATCCGTTAAAACCCACAAACTGCAGCCTTCAGATTCGTAAAAGAAACAAACAAACAGAAACCCCACCATCAGGAACCCCTGAGAGCAAGCACAAGGCAGGGAACTTGTGAGGAACCCCAACAGAGCCCTGAGTGGAAGAGAGGCCTTCTACCCCAGTGAGTATCCGTAGGGACAGAATTTGGCGCTCCGAACAGGAGACCAGTGATCCACACAGCCAAGTTCACAGTGGATCCCTGAACCTCTTAGCTTGCAAACCGGTGTAGTGGCAATACACTGTCTGACTAGTTCAGGCATGAAACCTTAGGACTGGGAGGATCGGAAACCCTTGAGATTCACAGAAGCCGTCACCACTTCACTAAATGGCTGACCACTGTGGCTGCTGCAGTGGTGGTGGTGAGGGTGGGGGTGGGAGGCGGTGGAGACAGGACTATAGAACTGGCCATGATTTGAACATAGATTTATGGACATGATTCTATGAAGGAGGAGGTACAGGCTGCTGCAGAGGGAAATGGCCCCTTAGGGGCTGGGGGCGCACATTTTGAGAAAGTGGGCCACTGATGAGCATTTCTCACAGACACTCACACTTGCTCTGGCAGAGCACTTGCCATGTGAGCACACATGCAATTAGGGAGTCCCAGACCTGGACAGTGGGGGTGGTATGAGTGCAACTCTTGTGCATACTAAATTGCTGGACCTGTGAACAGAGACTAATGGAGCCAGTTAAGGCAGCAGAGGACATTGTCTTAGCTTGCATGCCCTGGCAAGCAAGGAAGGGCAGGGCCAGCCTCCATACAGTCCTTTCTGGTTCTACCTGTCAGGACCTGAGAAAGAAAGGGCCTCATAACAGCCACCACACACCTACTGAACTTCAAAATGAGAGGTCTGAGAAAAAAAAACTAAAGCTCCCCCACCCTCCAGCCCTCAGCAAGGAAGAACTGTGTCCTGGCTTTACTGTCCTTCTTTCCTTTGCTGCATTTTTTACAACTTCATACAATTTCCTCCAGTGTGTCTTGTTTTCCCTTTCTTCCTTTCTCTCTTTTCATTACTTTATTGTTAATACTTCTAATTAGTCATTTTAATGTCCCAATTTGTGTCATTTTACCTTCTTTCTTTCTGTCCTTACTACACATACAGTTGCAGTTCCAAATTGTACATAATTGTTGTTATTGTGTTTAAAGATCTGGCTTGGAGCCTAGCAGTGGTGGTGCACACTTTTAATCCCAGCACTCAGGAGGCAGAGGCAGGCAGATCTCTTTGAGTTTCAGGCCAGCCTGGTCTACAAAGCCACACAGAGAAACCCTGTTTCAAAAAAAAATTTAAAAATGATCTGGCTTGGTTTATGCTATTCCTGTTTTTGTTTGCTTTCTTCTGAATTTTAGTCAGGATTAAAACCTCAAGAGAAGCATATTGACCAAGACAGACAGACAAACACACCACACACACACACACACACACACACACACACACACACACACACACACACACACACACTCGCGCTAGCGTGTAAGAACAATTAATGAAAAATGTTAAAACCATAAGAGTGTCTTATCCCAACAGGTACATTTCTGCTTTAGTTCTTGCCTTGAGTTACTGCCTTTGCATCCCTCAATGATGGACTATAATTTTTAAGATGAAATCTTTTCCTTCCCATTTTGCTTTTGGTCATTGAGTTTATTATATCAGCCAAAGCAAAGTACAACAGGAGAAACACAGAAATGTATTTAAATCATGGCAATATGACTTTTTCAAAAGGCTATAACTCTTCAAAAATTGAATTCAAACATATCAAAATGATAGAAATGTTGCACAAATAATTCAAAAGTCTAATTCTAAAAATTGTCAATAACTGCAGAGTGGACAAATAAACACATGAATCTGAAAAACTCAATTCGAGATATAAACAAAAAAATCATAGTGGTACAGTGGTGTTACACATCTTTAATCCCAGCACACTGGAGGCAAAGGCAGGTGGATCTCTGTGGATTTGAGGCCAGTCTGGTCTACAGAGCTAGTTGCAGGACAGCCAAGGCTACACAAAGAAACTCTGTCTCAAAAAAACAAAAAGCAAAAAGTCATCAAAGAGATAAAAGTTAAGGAAGGGACTACAAACAGAATCCTTATAATTGAGAAGCTCAATAAGTCAAATAAAAACAATGGACAACTTCATCTATAGACAAGACCAAGTAGAATAAAAAGTATCAGAGATTGAAGCCAGTGTTGAAGAGGTATTCTATCCAGATAGGAAAATGATAGATAGATAGATAGATAGATAGATAGATAGATAGATAGACAAATTTTAAAAGGGCAGTCATGACCACAACATTCAAGAGCTCTCAAGCCCAACAGAGCAAATTCACAAAACTGTGATGTCGAAGAATGAGTCAAGATGAAAACTAAAATCCTATTCAATAAAATTATAACACAAAAATTCTCCAAATCTAGGAAAAGAAAGTAAAGGAGGTATTCAGAAC